GCGTAGTTCACACCACCGGATTGTGTCGCAGTGCGTGAAAAAAGTAAAGTAGAGCAAGCAGCAATTTTTGCAAAGCCAACATGCGTAAACATCTAAATGCAACACAAAGCACGCAAGTGTGACATGAAAAAAAAGTTTGCCTTCTCTTATGACCAATCCATTCCACTTCCTGGTTATACATGTGGCGTGTACTGAGCAGTGCAGACTGTAATTAAAGGGTATGTATGGTGAAATGGTACCATGGTTTCTATCATTTCCAACAATTCTATCCCACTCCCAATAACCAGATCCATCTAGAAGTTAGTAAACTTACTTTTTTAAGATGCCCATAGGATGTACTTCCCCAATGCACTGACATAATTCCACTCAGCCCTGTGAATATATACTTCCTTGTGTCACCACCCTCACAGAGCCTGCCATCTAAACTACAACTCAACATCTGAAACAATGTAATATTATCATTACTTGCTGGAAGCAATGCATGATGGGATATGTAGTCAATGAGAAAACAAGATTGCATCACATCAAGCAGCAGGAAAAGAGACGCAAAGCACACTGGGAATCCAGGAAGTTGGTGAAAGTGATGGGCAGACAGAAGCTTTGATTGCATTATCAGAGACAACTCTAGTATGTATTTCTATTACAATGCTGAGGTTATACCAGGAGAGGATATGTGTGACTTTACAGCTCCTTTAAAGCAGAACTCCGGAGACATCTTTTTCTTAACCCTTGCAGTGGGGCCACCCCTGCACTGCAAGGGTTAACTGCTCCCTCTAGCCTCTCTCCTCCTCTACTGCAGCGATGGTATGTCCCTCAACAGCCTCACATCCTATACACAGTGTATAGAACTTGATGACTCGAGGATGCTTAGACAGCTGCAGTGGAAAGGGAGAGAGGCTGGAGGGACCGGTCTAAGGCCCCATTCACACTAAGCGTATCACAAATCGTGCGTTTGTCATTTTGCGCGATATTGCGTGTTTTGCCGCAATATATTGCGATATTGTGCAAATGTTTGCATTGGGCTGAGTACAATCGTGCGACATCCGCGCCAAAAAAGGGTCCCGCACAAGCGACGCGCAACATGGACGAGCACAGCATTGGAAAACGATATCGCGCATATCTTTGACCATCGGAACAAATATTCTAAGGACAACAGAGGAAATGCTGACATCTGGGAGAAAATTGCAGCACAAATATATTTTTGATAAAGATTTGGTAGTAAAGAAAAAATGTAAATGCACTGAAAACGCATGTAACTGCAACCGCATGTAGACGCATGTGCAGAAGAGCTTACAAGATGTGCGGTTTGTGGCGAAAACTTTTGATCTTTAAAGCAGGGTTCACACCATTTTCCAGACCAGATCTGGAACGCAGTGCATCGCGTTTTTACGGTGATTTTGCCACGTTTCCGAACCCAAAATTATTACACAGTATTTATATAGCGCCAACAGTTTGCGCAGCGCTTTACAATGTAAGGAAGACATTACAATTCAAGACAAGATGGTAAGTGCATCCTAATGTATCCCCTACGCGATTTCTGGCCCCTGTTCCCACCGGCGCAGTCCAATTCCAGACCAGACCAGAAAAATACTGCATGTCTCATTTTGTCTGGTCTGGAATACACTGGAACGCATAGAAATCCATCAAAGACGCATGGAACGCACTGGAGCGGACCTGAAAGCCCATTTTAAGCTAAAAAAAACAGCTCTGGAACGTGGCAAAATCACGGTAAAATTGTGGTAAAGACGCGGCAAACGCAATGCATCGCGTTCCAGACCTGGTCCGGAAAATGAAGTGAACCTGCCCTGATGCCCACATAATACGACATATGTTCCATCCAATCATAACATGGGATATCCACAGCAACCTTCTAATAGAACAGCCTCCATAGAGCGCCGCATCTTTCTCCTGTAATCCGTAGACAGGTGGTGTCTGATTTTGTCTGATTAAGAACGATGAAATGATATTGGCAAAATGATGTAAAAAAATCTTTTATTAGACAAAGGAAGAGCTGAGCTCTGATTACCTAATAGGCTTTCCAGTCCTCTGTGTATCTACGCTGAGTGTCAGCACTGGAATGACACGAGACAAGAGAACCTGTCATGTTTAAAGGAAGATCACAGGATCGTCAGATCATTATTTCTCAGCATCTGGACGCCCGTACATTTTGGGCACAGAACCAGAACATTTCCTGGCACAAGGTAAGGTAAATATTATGCTGCAGGGTTGGGTTTAGTATTAGAGATGTTTGGCGTTTGGGGTGCGATTTTAGGGGTTTAGGTTGTGTTAAGGTTGAGAATAGAGTTTAGGGCTTAAAGTGCATGTCCTGTCAAAAGTTTTTTCTTATTTTTGGATAGAGCAGGAAAGGGTTAAAACTATGGTTGCCACCTTTTCTTCCAGCGAAACCCCAGCACTCCAGCGACGCATGGAAATTTTGGAGGGAGAATGAGTCGCGGCTTATTCATATGTAAATAGTGTCATTCGTATGTAAATATCACAGTCGAGCCAGTAGCCTCTAACTTAATTTTGGTTGCCATTGTCTGCCTGACATCTTGTGTCCGTGCTTCAGCTGCCATGAAACCCGGACACAGCATTCAAAACCCGGACTGTCCGGGTGAATCCTGGACAGGTGGCAATCCTAGTTAAAACACTTATGAGGTTTTTACTGTTATTTGGGGCTCCATTACAGAAATGTATTCTCACTTCCTGCCCTGCTGACAGTATTTTACCAAACACTCCAGCTGCAACACAGGGAGCAGCCATATATTCTCATGACATATTCAGGTTCTTCTTCCTGTTTTGTAGAGCTGCTATACAATTGTGTTTCTTCTCCTTCCTAGAATGTGTGCCTAGGGGTCTGCTGACTAACTAAAAACAATGCTCTCCATATGGGGCTTGTGTTTAAAAAATGGTAACAAGAAAATGTGTGATTGCCAATAGAAACCAAGCAAGGATTTAATTAACAGCATCCTTATGCAGGGACATGCGGTAAAGTCAGTGGCAGGTGAGGCCACCCCTGACCCGGTCAGCGAGCTATGTATGGAGGAGGGAGGAGACAGGGAGCAGCTTCCCTGTCCCTCACTTGTTCATCACTGATGACGCATCTAAATGGATTCCTACAATGTTGGTTTTTTTTTATTGGACATATTGGACTAATGGTGCTTTGTCATTGGTCCAAACCATCCACAGAGCTCAAGCCTCTGACTCCAAGTCAGAGGCTTGTTGTAGCTCTGACCTCACTATGTTACACACAGCAGTAGGGAAGCCTGCTGCTGTCTAATCTAACATAGCTGTCAAAAGCCAGATGCAGTGCTGCCTTTAATAAACAGGCAGCGCTCCATCCATGACAGGTTACATAGCGGGGAGCCTTTCCCTGCTGTGTAACCTGTTACAAGCCGCTCTGAATGGAGAAAAAGCTGTCAGCTTCAGACTTTTTTGACAGTTTTTCCTCCATGATGGCAGGTGTGGCTCTGCCTCCCCTGACCACACGTCCTTGTCCTGTTGCCATCTCTACAATGTGGAGATGTAAATGAAATGCTTGCTTGCTTTCTTTGGTCAATGATACATTTTCTTGTTGTAATTTTTCAAACACAAGCCCCAATGATACGTTTTCTTAAGTAATTACTATCTTTTTTTTAATATTTTGGACACAGTGGTAAAGCGTAGAACATCTGTTGGGTTTTATTGCTCTCTATGGTGTTGTCAAGGAGAAGTGAGAGTGGTCATTAACAGGATAGAGTGACAACTCTTTGTCTGTTAACTCTTTGTCACCCCCCCCCCCCCCCCC